ACATTTAAGCAGACCCTCGCCTTTCTGAGAATCACTCATGTCTGTAAGTATGAAGCTACAGTTGGCGGCCAGTCAGCTTAGCATAAAGACCGGAAACAACTGGAGCTAACAGCTTCTCTACAGAGACAGAGGATTTCATCAAATGGTGATTTATTCCTTTAAGCCTGACGACACTTGGCACAGACTGCAGGGCCAAATAATAACTGCCCCACTGCAAACGTGCATGAATTCTCCTGCAACTGACGTCACATTCCCTCTGAATGCGTTTAAGTACTGTTTTAGTCCTGTCTTCCTGTATCTGTCTGTGAGCAATTACCTTTAGCCAGCGGTCGATGCACTGAACGTGGTAGTCATGGAAACAGGGAAGCATCCTGAGTTTGTCCCCCTCTTTGTAGTCGGAGAAGCAGATCTGACACCTGTGAGTCCATCAGCAGAAATACAACTTTAATGTATCAGGAGTCACTAGATTACAATCTACCAAGGTCCAGGTCAGATCAGCTGCTGGACTTACTGGGTGTTCCTGGTGCTGCTGGCAGCCTGGAAGGTTTTGGTGGGGAACCTCTGGATCTCCCTCTGAGTGAGCTTTTTGGACACAACAGCACCTTGACGTTCCTCGAACTCCAGTAGAGCCTGAAGGATGAGCAGGTGGACAGGGTGAGTTTATGCACAGCTGATACAACAGTCAGAGCATCACTGTCTGTAAAGAACCAGCACAGTGAGAAGCAGGTGAACTTGGTCTGTTTCACTGTCTGTAAGGAACCAGCAGTGAGAAGCAGGTGAACTTGGTCTGTGTTTGCTCTGAGCTAAATGTATCCACCAGGTGGAATAATTACTGTCTGTTCTCACACTGGTGACTGATGGGTCAGAAAAGCAGTAACATGAGTAAAGAGGGAACGGGGGGCCAGGCCTCTGACCCCTTCCTCCTGATGCAGCTTGTGCAGATCAGTGTGCTCTGATAGGATCTGTGATGCAGACTGTGTGGAGAGGAAGTGAGCAGTTGTGTCCAAGCTGCTTTGGAGACAAACTCAGGCAGCAGGTCATCAGATTGAGTAACTCAGTTTTCACTGAACCTGCTTCTAGAATGCAGATAAACACACAAGTAAATTCTTGGAAGAGGGGGGAGTCAAACCACCTTTAACCGTGTCAGTAAGACACTGTAGTTTGATGGGAGATACATTTACATGACGTGCACCATTCTACGAGACATTCTCATCATGACCATAAGCAGCTTACAGACAGATGAGGATGAAGAGATTTTAGACGTCTAGGAGCTAGCTTCTGTGCACGCTGCGCAGATGGTCGTTATCACCTCATAGTCGTTTCCCTGAAGATCCTCTGAAAACTCAGGCATGGCGTTCCTCCTTCTGCCCCGCCCATGTCTCCCACGCTGACCAATCAGATCTGTTCAAACACAGCACCTGTATCATTTAGCAAAAACCGAGATCACCTGCCATCCCTAACATCAGCCTAAACATGGAGCTTGAGTGACACTCTACAAGCTGAAACATAGTCATATCATGAGAATGAGAGGTGTAGAAACACTAGGATGTCTGATGAACCTAATGAAAGCCGAAGGGTCACAGTCCTGCTGTCTGACCCCAGCAGACCCAGATAAAACCTTTACAGCACAGCACTGAGTTTGTGGTCGTACCGTTGTCAAAGGCCACCGCAGGAGAAACCGCTGCCAGCATGTGAGACATCCAGCTGGGCTCCATGTCAGGACAGTACTGCACAGAACAACTGTGTTACTGGTCAAGTCACTGGACACTACATAAACTAAAACATGCACAGCCACACACACACCTCACTACATATCTCATCGATACAATCACAATTTTAAACAGCCAACTAAATGAATAGGATTTATATTACATGACAGGTTGGCTGTAGCGGTCATCAATGCAGCTCATGGTAACGTTACTGTAAAATATATGTATTGTATAAAAATAGGACTTAATAAGGCAAAGCTTCAGCCTGTTCTGTTTTGCTCACTGCAGAGGCCTGACCATAGAGATGGGGATGATAACTGTTATAGAAAGTAGTACACCAGTAAGATATTTACCAGACATATCACTGTATCAGTTATTGTGTTAAGTGGCCTTGAACTGTCTACTTTAAACTGTTTAATGGTGCCAACAAGACATAACCTGTCTGTACTGAAAGGTTGGCTATAAAGGCGCACAGAATTACATAATGACTGTTGGACTTCTTGTGTATAGGTTCCCAAAAACTACATCGACTAGACAGACATGGCCAGTAGCAGTGGGGAGAGAGGAGGCCGAGCCCAGCGGCTGCTCAGTTGTCTGAGACTGGGCCAGGACTGGACAGACAACGTCTTTATAGGAGTGGTCCTGTTAGTTTTTACATTTCCAAATCGTGGGTGCACAGTTAGTGACACTGGTAGATTGTTTCTATAGGCTAGAAATGCACCTCTGAGTCGTGTCTTGATGCAGTTGCACACAACTGGATCTGGGCTGGTTTATCGGAACATACAGGTTTTAAACTGCAACTCTGCAAACCCTTCCAATATATACTGTGTATAAATGTTGTACATACATAAAGTAAAATATAAACAGGAGAAATATGAACTGGAAAAATCCATATTTACATCCCTGTAAAAATTCACATTCACACTTAGTGTTGTCTTTCTCCTTTTTAAATCCAGATACATCCAGCTCTACAACTTGTTTCTGCTGAGAGAGTTCCTGTGTATTTTTCTTGGCTGCTACAAATCAAGGCCAGTTCACATATGAAGTGTTCTGATGTCCATCACTCGCCTGTTCTTACACAACACACACAAGTCCAAACGACCAAATGTGTCAATCAGTGTTAAAACTCTGACATGCGTGAACCCCGCCCTTATGCTTCAAGTCTATATACAGTACACTTAAACTTTTATTATAAATGCGAAGTGACAATGATTGTCTCACCCTGTAGTGGCCCTGATGATGATGATGATGATGGTGGTGCTGGTGGTGTGTGCTCCGTGCTTCCTCTCGGTCATACTGGGCCTAAATAAACAGAAATAGTTTCACTCCATTTGTGGTGGCAGGTGAGTTGTCTGTCTCTAGCGCTGCAGGTGAAGTCTCCTACCTGCAAGCTTCGGGCCAACATCTCATCTTCCTCCATCTGTACTAAGCGAACCACAGCCTCCTCATCGTCACTGATGATGATCTGCTCCGCTGTCACTGCAGAGCAAATGACTGATCACAAAGTTTCTATTTAAGGGATGATTGTGCCCAAAGTCTTGCAACTACAGTTTCAAAAATGTCTTTGGGGAGTAAACAGTACAAGTATGTTTCTACAGAGTCAGTGAGTTAGCTGTGGGTTATATTTGTTTCCATTTAGTCAAGGTGTCCCCATTAAGAGTATCAGAATGAGCTGCGACTTATTTTACGTGAATTTATGGAGCTTTATTCTGAAGGGACGTCAGAGATAATGAGATCCTCAGGAAGTGGATGCCACACTGAATCAGTTGAGGAGTGTGACTTTTGACCCCACTTGAGACAAAAAGAGACTACTGGTTTTACAGCACTTTATTGCCTCAGAAGGCCCTTTGGTGCCAGTGATAATGTGCTTCAAGAAGAACACAAGAAATGCATCGGTATAAATAATCTTTATAAACTATATTGACCGTGTTAAATCTACATCCCATGCCCTTACCTGTTGAGGTGTTTCCTTGTTCACCATTCAGCCATCTCCTCTCCTCTGTAGTCAGGAAGGACAAAGAGTCAGATCTGGATGACAGTGATGCTGAAGCCGTCATTAGATTTTGCTGCCTTCTCTGGGTGAGACAGCCACGACTGGCTACTACTGTGGAGTCTGTCACAGTCAGAGACACCTCTTCCACTTCCTCCTCTGATGCTGGTGTGAGGTAGGAGGAGGATGACGATGAAGAGGAGGAGGAACAGGATGCAGTGGACAGTGGAGCCTCCAACCAGCTGTCCAGACTCCTCAGAGATGATGCAGGAACAAAGCCAACACTCCGCTCTCCCATCGCTGCTGCCAGCCGCCTGCGTTTAGGTTTACACAAAAAACCCCGTTCACTGTGGGTGGGGTGTTGTGGTCCCGGAGAGTCTTCAAACACCACCTGGGCACAGAATCACAGCAGTCAGCCTCTATAAGGACGCCACGCACATCTAGTGACAATGAGAATAAGTTGAGCAAAAACTGCTGAGTGCTGCAGTCTTACAGGGCTGAAATGTTCCTCTGGGACCCGACCACGTCTCCTCCGCTTCCTGAGCTGTGGGCTGGAACAAGTAAACAGAATGAAACATTAAATCAATAGTTTGTCAAGACCATGATGCTGTTATTTAAAATGACCATGTTTAGTTTGTAAATTTGTGACAGTCCTGGTTGATGATAACAGAAAGTTGCCGTTAATGATGAGAACCAGTTTTTACTCAGCTAAAATGAAAGAGAAGCTTGTGGCCATGATTATGGGAAAAACCCCAAATTTCTTAACTGTCAACTTCTCTATCTCCTCTAGCTGAGTGAAATAAAACAATGATTAATGCAGGGTTGCAAACAATTATTACTTAAGAGTTATTACAATTATTACTGAAAAGTCACCAAATACAAGAAAAATAACTAACAGCTTCCTCAAGCTCAAGGTGATATGACAAAGAAAAGCTTTAAAAACCTAAACAGGAACCTGGAACAAGACAATGGTAGGTAGGTAGGTAGGTAGGTAGGTAGTACTTTATTGATCCCACAATGGGGAAATTCCTGTCTGGCAGTTTTGCATTAGTAACTAGCACAGATGTCCCCGTTTGTTTTTAGTGATACAATACATCAGATTTTGTCGGCACCTCCCACCATAAAACATCAATAATACCTGTAGATATCTTTCATCATTACACCGACAACGTCACTACAATCTGAATATTATGAGTTTCATAAAGGCAGCCATTTCAGCAGAGCCATTGTACTGGGTTGCATTAGATTGGCCAGGGACAGCTGTATACAAAATATGGATAAAATCCATATTTAGTTGAAATGAAAACAAGTAAATGGGGTGTCCGCAAAAGACACGTTATAGACTAGCCTTACTGCTGTCATTGGACTTAAAAAATAGAAAATTAAACAGCAAAGCTTGGGTACTGTCAAGTGTTAATCACGGTTTACACAAAGAGCCATGTCACCTGGGCGTTTCTGGAATGATGGTGGCCAGATCCTGGTGGAGGAGGTCCGGGGACTCGAGCAGGAAGCCTCGGTTTAGCCCTCCAGGACTGTCCCTTTCAGATGAACAGGGACTAACTGCTCCGTGCTCATCCATGGCACTCTCCTGCACGGACACGACAACCTGGTCGCCACTCTACAATCAGCGCAGATCCAGTTCCATCAAACAACTACTGAGGACAGTTCACGGGAAACAAAACACACTGGCTTACATGCTAACGACGGGAAGAACGAACAGAATAATCAGCCAACTTTAACGTACGGTTTAACGCTAGACGTCTGATGTCAACTAAATCTACATTTCCACTATTTAACTGACAGTAGTACTAATGGAGGAACCCGAAAGTGAAACCTGGAAAACTACCAAACCTGCTTCAGAAAAGCTGCCAAAACAAACTCAAAGTTAACGTTAGCGTTCGTTAAATTAGATGCGTTCAAACTAGCTTCAAAAAGACAAACGCGACAACAAATTCATGTAAGATCAATTAAACCTTACTACAACCCAAGACAATAAGATTATGAGCATGATATCCAATAACTTTACCTAAACGTTTAAGTCTTTTATGGATTTGTTAACCGATATCAGCGCCAGAGTGCCCACCGGAAGTAGACGACGGCTCATTTCCGTTGTCGCATAGAAAAGTCCCTAAGATTCGTCTGTGCAAACGTCAGTGGTTCCATGTATAGTTTTAGTTTTCATATGAGGACATTCACTCAACAAACTGTATTATGACAGAATACAACATAACAAAAATATGTCCTCTTATGAAGACGTAAATTATAATTTCTGAGGAAAAACTTTCGTCTGGTACCAGCTCCTCAGCTGTGAGGATTTGTTGGTTTTCTGACTAACAATAATTTTTACTTTTGCTTTGTTTATAAAATGTCATAAAATAGTGAAAAATGGGTCTTCTAAGTTCGCACAGTTTGATGTGTTTTTTTTTTCCATAAGCCTTGGTTCACTGTAAGACTCAAGCAGCTTCATCATGCCAAAGAGGAGATCTATAGATGGAGGGTTGAACAGGCTCTACAGTCTCCCAGGACCTGAAGTGGATGTCCAACATCAACACCATCACCAAGAAGGCGCAGCTCAGGAAGTTCAGTCTGCCCCATGAGCTGCTGATAATTTCTACAGAGGAATCATCGAGTCTGTTCTCTGCTCATAAACACTTAACCCATGACTGTATAACAGGATGACAACCCTCAGTGCAAAACCTTGGAAATATACCCTATATATCTATATGAAAAACTGCATCTAAACTGTATATATATAATATATACATATTTATGAGTATTTTTATTTTCCTAATGTACATTTCTTTTTCTTGCTTGCTAATTGTTTTTCTTTTCTGTTCTAAGTCTTATCTTGTCGACTGGTTGCTTTACACTGTACCAGAGTCAAACACCTGGTGTGTCCAACATACCTGGCTGATAAAGCTGATTCTCATTCTATCAACAGTCAAAAACATAAAGATAATCAGTTTTTGCTTAAAAATGATAATAAACACTGCCCCCGTGACCCGGTCCCGGATAAGCGGAGGAAAATGGATGGATGAAGTTGTCCATTCTGTCTATGAATGAACTGACTTAAGTGTCTGACAGTGTCAAGAGCACAAACAGGATGTTCAGTCTCAAGGGAGGGACAATTAGCCTTATTGGCTAATGTGAGAGCATATCAAATCAGCTGGTTGGTTGCTCTTATTGTCACAGAACACAATCCCGTAGTTGCACTGGTGTTGTCACCACCGTTCAACTCCATCTAACGATCTTTTGATTAACTTATTTTTAACTTGTATTTATTAGTTTTTTTTAGCACTGGGTTACACCTGCATCTAAGGATGAGCAGAGTGTGTTTGTGATACTTGTGAATACACTGCACACAACACTGCTGGGAAATTTTATATTTTTAGATTCCACATCAGAGGAAATACAAGAATACAAGTCTGGCACGTGGGAGTGTGGACACTAATCTTTCCCATGTATTCTGGCACTGAATTGAGTTTGCACTGGAAACACACCCACACGAAACTGACAGCAGTGTTCAAGACTCAAACACCTGAGTTTGGAGACAATGTACAGTATGTGGGTCATGTGCTCTTGTTGAAGCACAGGGAGGATATATAGCTGCTGCGGGAAAATGGCTAAGCCCAGCACCACATGCGTGAGAAACTTTGTATGATATCATTTCAGAACAACAGACTTTCTCTGACAGGACTGAATAAGGGGGCAGGGCTTGTAGCCCCAGCAGGAGCACACTGTGCAATAGTACTGAAACTGCAGAAGGAGAGTTGCAGTGTCTCTGGGAGTGAAGGCAGGTGACGTGTAGCTACTTGTCAGAGAAGAGGTAACTGCAGCTAGTGGGGACAAGGATAGGTAGCAGAACCTGTGCTGTCTCTCGTGCTGAGAGTCTTTGTCCTGGGCCCAGAACCAACAAACTGAACAGAGACGGACCATCAGACAGAGAAGGTGCTGCAGTGCTACTGAGGTACACTGATCTTCACTGTAGTAGCAAAACATTCAAACTGTATTCAAAATAATCTGGGTGGGGTCTAATAAGAGATAAAATCACATTAATCAACCTAATAATGAATTAAACTGAACTCTTACACTTTGACTGGAGACTTTAAAATGAAGCACCAATCACCAAACTAGATTTTACAAATAGGCTCTTATTTATTGTTTTACTGACTCACAGAAGCTCAAGATGATGTTGCAGTTTTAAACGTGGATCAGCACCTTTGTCTCTAATCATCTACCAATGAGAATACAAGGCATCTGCACTAGAGGAATCTGAAGGTTTCTAACTGAGCTCTAACATAGGCGTTTCCTTCTAGTGGATAGGGGTGAAAGATAAACACAGCAGCAGAAGCTGCTC